CATTACCCAAATGCTTGGGCTGTGCCTCCTGCGCTGCTGCTTCAAAGCAAAGGGACACATGGACAATGGTATTTACTCCTGATCCCCCCCATGACTCTGGTTTCTTGCATGTGATGCGTCTTTGTGCTGAGGAGGAGGTTCAATCAAAGCACTTTAATTAGTCACTCCTTAAGGGTATGTCTTTTGTTTGAAAGAAGAGAAAGAAATGCTGGGCCCAAGCCCCAACCCCTCCATAGAAGGACACTGCTACTCATTAGGGCAGGGTGATTATGGACAGCCAGTCCATAATCAGTGAGATTCAGTAGGTGCCTCTGCCATTCATAATCAAGAAACCTTGGAGAAGAGCTTGGGAGATTCTGCAGGATGCTTGGGTTTGACCTAGACCTGGGCATTTCCTCCTACACAACGTTTTCCAACATCCCTAAGGAGAAGCCACCTCTCTGTTAGTTACAGGAGCAGGCTGTGAGCTCTGGCAGAGTTAGTTTGGTAGGGAAGGCAACAAACCCTGGCTTCAGTAAGCAAAGAAGTCCCATCAAGGGTACATGGAGAGTTGATCCCTGGCCACCTCCAAAGCTCTGGTGAAAAATCTCAGATTTATTTTAAAAGCTCTTTATTCAACTTGTTGTTGTTCCTCCTCATTTGGGTGACACGTTCTCGTTTTGCACACTCCCAGCTGTGATTATCCAGGTGTTCTGGCCTGTGACACCTGGGGCAAGTAGCACAATCACCCAAGTACCCAGAGAAGGGCTTTTTCTTCATGGCATCCAGTTCAACTTGAGTCAGGAAACCCCAGAAATCTCAGCAGGTTTGAGCCTTCCATCCATGTAGCTCCAGAATGTAGAGGCTGATCAGCACTCACGCTTCCCAGCTTGCCCGAGATGACTTCCCAGGGCACCTCTTACCTGTCTAGTTAGGAACTTACATCACCATCTCTTCCAGAGGTCAAAAAAATAATGTTGTTGTACAGAATGTCACAGGGCACTGGCACATGTTTGCGTATTCAGAACATCACTGCCTTTCTCACCAGGCACCAGATGGGAAGAGGCTGTGACATCCCCACCATGGTACCCAGAAGAAAAAACTCCCTGACCTGGTGTGTCTTTCCCACAGAGCGTGGAGTTATTTCCACATCATCTTGCACAAGTGTGATCAAGTTGGCTCTGCCATTCACCCCAATTCTGTAATATCCCAAACGTCCTCCCTGAGTGTAGCAGATCTCCTTGTCCTGGTCCAGAACCAAATGCTTTCTATAGACACACTTCTCTGCTCTAGTGAGACTCCACCTGGAATATTGTGTCCAGTTTGGAGTCCCCAACACAGGAAGGACATGGAGATCCTGGGAAGTCCAGAGGAGGCCACAGAGATGATCCAAGGGCTGGAGCAGCTCTGCTCTGGAGACAGACTGGGAGAGTTGGGGTGTTCAGCCTGGAGAAGAGAAGGCTCCAGGGACACCTTAGAGCACCTTCCAGTGCCTGAAGGGGCTCCAGGAAAGCTGGGGAGGGGCTTGGGACAAGGGCAGGTAGGGATGGGATGAGGAGTAATGGCTTTAAACTGGAAGAGGGGAGATTTAGATTGGACATGAGGAGGAAATTCTGGGCTGTGTGGGTGGTGAGAGCCTGGCCCAGGTTGCCCAGGGAAGCTGTGGCTGCCCCATCCCTGAGGGTGTTGAAGGGCAGGTTGGATGGGGCTTGGAGCAACCTGGGCTGGTGGGAGGTGCCCACAGCAGCTGAGTTGGGAATGGATAATCTTCAAGATCCCTTCTAACCCAAACCATTCCACAATTAATTTTTAAACTTCTGTACTTCTTGGCGCTGCCCTCCTGCTGCCTGGAATGTGTCCCTTTCTTTTGGAGGTGACAAAAGTAAGACCTCACGTATGTTTTCCACTATAATTTTGTCAGGCAAGGAAACAGGTGCTGCAAACCCTTGGGAGGTTCTGTTTTGGGAGGGGCACCCTCAAATTAAGCTGGGCAGCAGAAGTTGAATTCATGTTCTGTACTTCAGGGTGAGGATTGCACCCTGATTTCTGGTTTAGGAGGTGGCTTGGGCATATTTGCATGTTGATATTTTTCTTGATGTGACCAAGGAGATTTATTCTTAGGCTGAAGTGCACAACTTCTGTTGAGAAGATGTTGATTTTGATTGGAAAGTGGATTTTGGCCTTTGTAGCAGGGAATAAACCAGAATTCAGGTGTGCCTGTTGTTACTAAGCACGTTACTTCTTGATTTGACGTATGTTTGGGTTTCACTGTGTATTTTTGGATTTTTGGGTGTGTTTTGGCTGCCTGTTGTGCAGTAGGTAGAAAACTGCATCCCCTTTGTTTTCTGTGCTTCATTGGACTTATAGGTCCTGACCCCTCACGAGTAGTCTGTCAAAGAGAAGTAGCCAAGAGATTTCAAGAAGCCATCCAGATAATTCTGCAAGTGGGTTTTTTAAGGAAAATCAGAAACGAACACTTTTTGTGTTTTTTGTTTTTTTTTTACTGTAAAAGCCATCAGGAGAGCTTTTGGCTTGTAGGACTCCAACTGATGAAGTTGGGACTGGAGCAGCAGATCCCATCTCCCATCAAACCAAGGGATTGGCAGGCCCTGCTGACCTTCCCGGCACTTTGCCATGTCTCACCTAGTTTTTGTCCTCTCACTTCCATGATGTGAATTTATATGTCACCTTTTAGGACTTGGCCATCTTCCAGCATAAGAGGATAAGCTTTAGGGAGGAAAGCCTTTCCCCTCTCTGTCTCATGTTTTTGGGGAGCCAAAACCTTCCAACACCCTGCTTTTTGACATCTCCCATCCCCTGCTCTCTCAGCATTGACAAATCCTCCCTGGTTGCCCCAAGGAGAAGACAGGGGTGCCCTTTCTCCCTAGGAGCACGAGATTACTTCCTTCCACTCCAGGCCTTGGGTAAAGGGGATGTGAGGCTTCTTGACCTGACATTTTGCATCCCTTGTTTCACCATCAAAGGGAAAATGTTCCACTCTGGGATTCCACCTTATAAATCCTTCAGAGTGTTTGACTGGCCTGTACGTTCATCATGAAAATTAGACCCAGCTCGTTGCTCTGTCACCCCTGCAATGATGTGTCTGCTGTGATTTGGAAAGGAATGTATAAATAGGTCTTGCCTTCAGCAGAGGATTTTTGGGGCCGGGTTTAGCATGTGCCTCATGACGTGGCCAGAGTGGTCGGTGAGCAGCTGTGTCACACAAGGTCAGCCCAAGTTCAAAGCAGGCTCGGTGCTGATTCCAAAATCGGAGGCATCAGGCTGCTGGGGCCACAGGAGCAAGGTCACCCAGAGGGTCTGGTGACAGCATAAATAATAAAGCAGGGCTTAAGTAATTTGTTGATAGCACCCCTGTGATGAAACTGTGTTTTGCTGCTTCTGGGGCTTGGTGGTGTGACCTTCCACCTTTCTTGACACCTGTTTCTTTTTCCCTCTTGGCTTTTTTTGCTTTTTCTCCCGAGTTCAGTGTGGTTTCAAGTAGGCTAAAGAAGGTGGTTTGAAGGGAATAAATCAATAAATCAGTTCTAACTTGTTACTATATTAGGGACAGGCATGATGGACAAGGTACATTAAAAAGGTGGACAGATGGAGACGTGTGTGGCCACACTGTGATGTTTTACCTTTATGTGCACAAATGAAGCAACCAGGTGAAAGAGCAGATTATGGTCTCCCTGTTATCTGCGAGATATTAGGGCTAAAATTGAGTGCTGAAAACCAAGCCACCGAGCCAACTCCCCCTCCCCACCCTCCATGCCTCTCTCCATAATCCCATCAATGCTCTTCTCCCATACAAGTCTGTGTCGCCAGCAGCCAAAGGTTATACGTGCATGGGGAGTTCTCCAGCAGCTGAATGTCAAACTGTTGAGTGAGTGGATCCTGTTCATCCATTTCCCCTACGAGCCTTTCTAAAAATACACTAAACTTTGAGAAGGAGCTATTTTAAGGGAATCATATTCATGAGGATGGTCATGGGAAGCTTAATTTGGCAGGCTTGCATGTCTCCAATCTGCATGTTTCCTCAGTCAAGGGCTTGGTGAACTTGTGTCGCCAGCCTGTTGGAGATGGGCTTAAGAGAGAGCATCTGGATTTTGGGACCTCCTGGGTCGGGACATCTACTCCAAGAGAGTTTATAGGAGGAAAAGAACTGAAGAG